AGTGCTGTGTCAGTTTCTGGTGTCTTACTTTGAGTATTAGGTGAATGTATAGTCACTTTTCTGTTGCTGTGATAGAAACACTGACCAAAGCAATTTATAGAAGGAAGAATTTATTTGAGCTTACAGTTCCAGGGGAATTACAGTCCGTCATGGCAGGGAGTCATGGTGGCTGGAGGTGGCTGGAGCAGGAGCAGCAGAAGCTAAGCTCTCACATCATCACGGAGGCACAGGAAGCAAAAGAGAAACTGGAGATCTGGCAAAGCTTAAGAACTATCTGAGCCCACCCCCAGTGATATGCTTCCTCCAGGATAGCCACACTTTCTAAGACCTCCCAAAAGAGTGCCATCATCTGGGGACAAAATATTCACATACTTGGAGCCTATGGGGGACATTTTTATTCAAACCATCACAGTGAGGTCATGATTTCCTGTTGTTTGCTGGCAGGTGATAGTGTCTTGGTATTGAAGATCACCCCTAGCTTTGCTTGTGCCCATGTTTCTGGAGAGTCTAAGCAGGCTGCCTATGTTCATCAAATCTGTAGTCACGTTCACTATTTCAACACTTGAGGACATGTAGGTCCAAGTTTTCTGGGAGTCACTTGTCACTGTTTCAGTACAAATGGGTGATGCAAGGCTAGATTTGTCCCAACACAATGGTGATGTACGTTCAGGAGGAAGCAGGAGTAGCCGCCTCTGTAGTCTCTCTTTAGGTAAGCTCAGATAACATCCACAGCTAGGTAGCAAGGGATTTGGCCTAGCTCAGAGAAGAGTCACTGTGGATGGACAAGTCCCAGGCACTTTTGTCACACCTATGTCACAGCCTGCCAAGAGCGGCAGAATACTGGGGTAGGATCAAGGTTTACTGCTGTGGTCTTGCTGAGGTAGACTCATGGCCCAAGACTATTGCCAGCAGCCACAGATGCCAGCTAGACTAAAAGGCCAACAAACCATGACTGTATGTCTTCCTCTGGTCTAGACTGTCCCACTCCATCCATGGGCAGGCCCTAGGTATGAGGCTACAAGGATCTCCCCAATGTTAGGTTTCACTAGCCCAGTACCAAGTTTCAGGGCCAAGTCTAGTGCTTACTATCCTGTCCTAATCTCAGTGAATGGAATTTTACTCTTTATTATGTTGTCCTGCTCAAGTTTGGGGTTGGGTTGGTAAAGGCAGTCTGTGATAACCTAGGTTGATACTAACCTGAGTTATGCTTGAGTCTCACAGCTTCGAGGTCCTGTGAGCCTCAGGGATGCATGAGGCCTGTGCCACAGCTGGAGGTGATACAGGCTGAAGCATAAATCTGTCCCATTGGTACATAGGTCTTCACTAGATACAGGGCTGGTTTAGAGGCTCTGAGTGTGTGCTCTGGCCTGCATTTGGGGCCTGAAGTTTCTACTAAATGCTGGCTGTCACTGTGACAGATCTATCACTAGGCTTTAAGACAAAGCTCTGTGCTAGCTTTTATACCATTCTCTTTAGCAAGTGGAATCTTGTTCCCTGCTCTGTGATCTGATGTTGCACGGGGAGAGGTAGAGGCACTCAGCTGCTTGGCCTAATGTAGTTTTGGTGGCTCAGTCTGTGGGTATCTGGCTGGTAGAAAGCATTGTGGGTCTCTGTTTGAAAGTGGGCTTCTCTGTGTCAGGCCTGGTACAGGATTTCAAGGCCAAGGTCTGAACTTAACTTGCTCACTCCTCCAAGTGGGCGGCATCTCTCTTCACATTGGGCTGGTTGGAGATGGGGTGTGTGTATGACACGTACAACTCTTTCTGTCATTTTGTTTTATTATAATTGGGTGATATGGCCTCTGACAGGGTTTCGTTCCTTTTGTGAGGGTTATTTGGTGTGTGGGAAGAGGATTCTGGAAGATCTTTCTCTGCTTCTTTCTTATTCTCCTCCTGATGTGCCACATTTTAAAGAAGCATTTGTATAACTATCTGTAGCTCTTATTTTCTTCTCCACTCTCCTCTACCCTGTCTCTCTCTGACCCAAGCAGACTGACTTTTTGTTGCCTGCAGGCACTGGGCCATGCCACATAGCTTCCTTAGCAAATTGTCTCGGTAACTTCACTAGGCTGCTCTGGGCCATCCCACCACTATATTAATGAACACTCATCTTGATCTCTACAGAGTGCTGATATAGACCTGGAAAGTATAATATTAAATTAAAATAATATTTTACGTGTATAAGTTTTTTGTCTACATGTATATAAGTGCACCACATATGTGCAATGTCTGCAGATGCCAGAAGAGGGTATTGGATCCCTTGGAACTGGATGGTTGTTAGCAATTATGGGGGTGCTGGGAACCAAGCCTGGGTCTTATGCAAGAGCAGCCAATTATCTTAACCTCTGAGCCATCTCTCTATCCCCAGTTTAATTTTTTTAAATTTTTAGTTTTTTTTGAGACAGGGTCTCCCTGTAGCCTCACTGGCCTGGAACTCGCTATGTAGACCAGGCTGATCCCGAACTCACAGAGATCTGCCTGCCTTTGCCTCCCAGGTGCTGGGATTAAAGGCATGCACTACCATGCTCCACCCAGTTTAAATTTTTAAAAAATATTTTACTTTTTTATTTTTTATTTTATGTATATGAGTGTACTGCCTGTATGTGTGTAAGTATACCTGTGTTGTGCACAGTCTAAAATTTTTAAAAAATTATTTTTATTTTTTTATGTGTATGTGTGTATTGCCTGCATGTAGGTAAGTGCACCTGTATCGTGCAGTACCCGCGGAAGATAGAAGAGGCTGTTGGAACTGGAACTGGAGTTATGGACAATTGTTAACTGCCATGTGGGTGCTGTGATTCAACCGGTGTTCTTAACCACTGAGCCATCTCTCCAGCCCCCATCACAGTCTAAAAATTTTAAAGAGCAATTTTTGCAGAGACCTTTTGGTCACTAAAACAATGACAAACATTACTGAGCACTTCCCACAATCCAATGTGCCAAATGATTCCAGAGGATATGAGTCCAACTCCTTGAGAGGATTCAAGAAGATCTCTGAGTTCAGCTTGAAGTGGTGGTCTTACTGAGGCTGGCCATTCAGAATTTCTGGCAGCTACTGCTGGCCATTGGTGGCTGCCTCAGTGTGTAGTGAGTCAGACTTTTTGTTACTGTGATGAATACCTGAGAGAAAAAAAATCTTAAAATGAAGAAAGATTTATATTTATATTATGTTTTTTAGAGGCTTATTGTTTCATTTTGTTGTTTTTGAGACAGGTCTCCCTGTAGCCCAATTGGTCTGGAACTTGCTATGTAGACCAGGCTGGCCTCGATCTCATCTCTGTGAGATATGCCTGCCTCTGCCTCCCTAGTGCTGGGATCAAGGGAGTCTGTGAACATGAATTGCTTTGTGTGTGTGTGTGTGTGTGCTTGGCGCCCATGGAGGCCAGAGATATCCAGTCCCCCTGGGACTTCTGAATAGCCCATTGATGAAGTCAGTGCCCCCATGAGCCAACCACCTCTCAATAGTGCCACCAGCTGGGGACCAAGCCTTCAGCATGCAAGCTTTTTTGTCAGGGGGGATACTTCATATCCAAACTACAGTGATGGGAGTCATATCAGAACTGGTGTTTGTGTAATATTGTGGGTTGAAATTTATCCCTTAGAAGCTGGGCATGGGAGAACACACTTATCATCCCAGTTACTCAAGAAGCTGAGGTGGGAAGATAGTGATTCAAAACCAGCCTGGGCTATGATAGTGAGAACCTGTCTCAAAAACAAAACCAAGGGGCGGGAGGGATGGCTTGGTGGGTAAGAGCACTTGATGTGGAAGCAAGAAGACCTGAGTTTAAATCCTCAGCACTCACAGAAGAAGTTGGTCATGGCCCTGAGTTCTTGTAACCCTAGTGTGGGGAATGGGAAGGCAGAGACAGATGGATTCCCCCAGGAGATCACTGGTCAGCCAGCCTAGCTGAACCAGTGAGCTTCTGGTTCGATGAGAAACCCTGTCTTAAAAAGTAAAGTGGATGGCCAGCAAGATGGCTCAGTGGGTAAGAGTGTTTGTCGTACAATCCTGATAACCCACCTTTGCTCTCTGGAATCCACACAAGCCAAATGTGATGGTTCACATCTGTAATTTTAGCACTCCTGACATGAGATGGGAGGCAAAGACAGGAGAATCACCTGGAAGCTCACAGGTCAGCTATCCTGGTGTACCCAGAGCAGCAGAAGCAAGAGAGACCCTGCTTCAACAAGGTGGAAGGACTGTACTGATCTCTGAAAGTTGTCCTCTGACCTCCACATGTGGGCCATAGCACCTGTGTGCTCACACTCACATACATACTAAAACATGCAAAATGATAATAATAAAAAAATAAGGTGGGGGGTTGGAGAGATTGCTCAGCAGTTAAGAGCAGGTACTGCTCTTCCAGAAGACCAGAGTTCAGTTCCCAGCATCTATATCGGGTGGTTCACAACCACCTACAATTCCATTTCCTGGGAGATCCAACTCCTGCATTCATGTGCACACACCCACACAGACAAACACACACATATACACATGATTAAAATAAAAAAAATCTTAATATAAGGTAGAGAATGATAAACTCCCAACATCCTCTTCTGGCCTCTGAATACAGAGGTACACATACTTGTACACACATATATATGTGTGTACCTGTGTGTATATTTCACACACTGGATTTCAAGTTCATTATTTTTATTGTGACTTGGGCCATTTACTTAAGTATTTTCTGACTTAATTCTTTGCCTATAAAAACCTGGATAAGACCCTTACAGGATTCTTGTGAAGTTAAGTACTTAAACAACGTTTGAAACTTGCTGTCACATAGTAGATACTCGAGAGATTCTAGCTTTTGTTTTTGGTCCATGGATAATGTCAGACTAGAGGTCAGAGGTTGGGGAGAAGGAGAGGCGGATTAGCGGAGGATGTGCTAAGCTCTGGGCTCCTCACTCTTGCTCCCACCTCCTTAGCTTCAGGAAATCATATCCACCTGCCACAGCTACACTCTTTGAGCTGTCTTCAGCCTGGGATTTCTTTCCTAGAGTGCCCAGATTCGACTGAAGATGTGGCTGGCGTCTCAGGAAGCTCTCTCTGCCTACGGCCTTACGATGTATGGATAAAGTATGATTCTTTTCAATGGAAGAAACGCCTGGAGTCAGGATCTTATGAACTCCTGACTGGGTACAATTTTAAAGGGCAGAAATGTCCATATTTTGACGTGAATAATTCCAACAACACATTTTCTCTGAACAATGAGACTTTAACTTTTCTCATCAAGTCAGCTAAGCCTCAAGACAGTGGTCATTACTTTCTGGAGGTCACCAATAGTAATGGACAAGTTTGCACCAAGCACTTCATGGTTCTTGTACTGGGTGAGTTTCCAGCTCTGCTCACTCTGCCTTTCTGAGTCCTGTGGGACTTGTATCCTTGTCTTTCTAACCAGAATCTCTGCTTCCAGATCATGTTGAGAAGCCCCATCTGCAGGTGCAGTGGAAGACCCTGGATGATGGGATGTGCGAAGTGTCTCTATACTGCTTGGTGTACGGGGATGACAACGTGAGCTATGCTTTGTACAGAGGGAGCACGAAGATCTCAACGGAGAAGAACTTTACCCACCAGGAGAATCAGACTGATGTCAGTGGCCTGCTTACATATTGGGGATAACGTGAGCTATGCTTTGTACAGAGGGAGCACGAAGATCTCAACGGAGAGGAACTTTACCCACCAGGAGAATCAGACTGATGTCAGTGGCCTGCTTACATATACATGCAATGTTAGCAACCATGTCAGCTGGGAAAGCCACACCCTCAACTTCACTCAGGGCTGTCTGAGTGTTCCCCTGAGTAAGTGGAGCAATTTGGGCCATAGTAGGGGCAGAGGGTGTTGGGCCCCACAACTAGACTCCTAGGCAAAAGATACTTGGGTGTAAGATCACTTAGCTTTCTTCTGTAATTCCCTGTGGCCCTTCCTCAGCAGGGGCCTTGCCTCTTGGCACAAAATTCCTAAAAATGCAGGCCTGTCTTATTCTTGGAAGAATTGTATTTTCTCTTCTACTGGAGTTATAAGCTTTCCTTCCACACAGGGAAAGCTTAGCTGTTTGGTGAGTTTTATAATGGCTCTGAACATTATCTTCATCTTCTGAGATACTGGAGACCCAATTCCTCCCAAGTGATATCTTACCGCAATCCAGATAGTTTCTTGGGAGGTAATGATACTGCACTACAGTACCTTAGGTCAGCGGGGGCTTCAGGAAAACGACAAGGTACTTAGAAGAGTTCTGTGCCTTTTTTTTTTTTTTTTTCGGTCTTTTTGAAGCAGGGTCTCCCTGTAAGCCCCAGCTGTCCTGGAACTCACTACATAGATCAGGCTGGCCTTGAATTCACAGAGATCTGCCTGCTTCTGTCTCCCAAATGCTGGGACTACAGGCGTGTTCCACCACGCCCGGCTCTGTGCCTATTTTTAACCCAAGATGAGTGAAGGTTGTATCACTTTTTATTTGATAAAGACTTGATGTGCCATCAACATGGGCTTTATGGGAAAACCTAATCAAACCAAGCCAACCCAGATCCATGCAGGCCCTGCTGTTAAAAAAAACTGACAGCAAAATGGGGCAACAAAACAAAGTTACTTGTGGGTGAAACGAAAACAAACGAGAGAGGAGGCATGGTAACAAGAATACTGGTTTGGGGCTATGCCAGCATACCTTCAGCACTAATTTCCTAGCTCCGAATCTCAGGCAGATTAATTTACTTCGTAGGGTTCCATTTTTCTCTTAGGTTCAATGGAGGTGATAATAAACATCTTACAGGATTACCATTAAGGTTGAACAAGATAGTGTTTGTGAGGAGCTAGCTAGTTGGTACCTGTAACACTAAATTCCTTTCACTTCCCCTCTTGTTGGTTGGATTATATATCAGGGTACACATGTAACACAAATGGTTACATGAAGGATCAGAAAAGTGAAATAGAAGGCTTTCCTGGCACACAGTAGGTATGTGGCAAATATTTGTTGAGTTAAAAACAATAGATGGACGTAACAGTGGCTGTGCAAGATGCTTTACATGTACCAGATAATATAATTAGCCCCTTGGGGAAAAATATTATCTCCTTTCTACAGGTAAGAAAATTGAAGCTCAGAGAGTTAGGTAAGTAGTACAGTTCTGAAACTGGTAAGCTGGACCAGATCTGCCATACATTAATCCCACACTGTTGGCATCACTCAGGGAAAGTCACCCGATTAAGTGGAGGGACAACACTGGTGTTGAATTCATAGAATGTGAGACTAGCCACACTATAAAGAATGGTGGGTTTTAAAATAGTTCCTTCTGCTGACACATGGGGAAGTGAGGATTTAGTCTTCCTGTTTTCTGTGTCCCTCAGAATCTGGATTTCTGCCCTTATTGGTGGTCATCATTATTCTGGTTGCACTATTTCTTGGTGTTCTCATTTGCTGTTATGTGTGGGATAAGAGGAGGCAGTCACGTAAGTAGATGGTCCCTGAAGGATGCTATTGCTTGAGGTATCAGATCCTGTGGCTTGGCCCTAGGTTCACAGGAATATGTCTGGGCACACAGTGCCGTCTCTTCCTGGGGAGGAGTTGGGATATGTGTGAGCATGTGTGAGGGAAGGCGACCACTGGATGTGAGGCCCTTCCTCCTATTCATGCCAACTTGGATGGCTTCAGGATATTTCAATGTGGTCCTCAGTCTGAAGGTTTACCTGAAGGTGCTGGGTTTGGCTGGAGACCACCCAGCTTGGTAGGGGAGGTATGTGAGGGGGACTTGCTTTACTGTGCCATTTGGGTGATGTGGGGAGAGCACTAACCTTCCTGCTTTCTAAAGCCATTCTTCAGGTTTTGGTCATCTTTGGTGGGAGGTACCACCCGTGAAATGGAAGCCCAGACAGGAGACCTGGAGGTTTCTGAATGTCGGTTCTTTGTTTTCTTCTTCACACAGAGTCCAACCCCGAGGAGTTTCTGACAGTATATGAAGATGTCAAGGACCAAGTCAGAAGGAATCAACCAGGACCTTCTACAAGCTTGAGGTCTCTTTCAGCTGGCCTGGAAGATGACAGGGAACAAAGAAGACTGGATGGGTGTCTCATCGAGGTGATCATCAACCCCTTTCCATCTCTTTTCTTCACCAGTTTCCTAGCTCTGCCCAAAGAGAAAAAGGGAAAACCAAATGAAGCACAGAAAATGAAAAGGAGGCAGAAGAGGTATCATAGTGCTGAGCTGCATCTTCTAGGAAGGGATGGAACACAGCAAAAATCAGTAGCAGAAGGCAGAATGTATGTGTTGCCCACCCCCAGACTATACACGACACCCTCATTTCAGCTCAATCCCACCAGCCGTGCTGAGCTCCAGGAGGAAAGGAAGCTTCTTATATTCATTGTGTCTGACCATATTCCCTAGGCTTGGAAGATAAGAGCATACCCTAGTGGCTCTTGTAATCATTGTCCAGATTGGGGATCATGACCAGCCAAAATATAATGGCTTTAGAGCTGCCTCAGTGGTCTATATTCACAGCCTTTGGGAAGAAGAAGCCCAAGCCTGGCTAAGGTACCAGAGGAGGCAAACAGCTTGGTACAGAGCCGAGGAACCTGAGGGCTCTTCTCTGACTTCCTCTCTCCTCAGCTATCTTCAGTGGTCAGCTCATCTAGTCATCCAGGAGTACAGAAGAGAAGGAAACTGCAGAGGGGCCCCAGATACCCTCACTACTGCGCTGCTGAGTCAGGCAGGATGTGGTGATAGGCCTAGGAGGAAGACCCAGATGGGCCAGGCAGAGCCGGTGGGTGCAGTGGTAGGAGTAGAGAAGAAGGGCCTTTTTCCCATCCCCATGTCTGCTGCTTGGCTGAGGGAGACATGGGGGCTCTTCGGCTCTGGTCACAGAACAGCTTTCTTCAGGTCTGTTTACTTAGCTGGAATGAGGGCATCTCCCCTCACTTGTTTCCTGGTCCCTGCAGTGGAATATTGAGTTGTGAAAACTAAAAAGGATGTTAGGCCTTAGGACACGTGCATCTACCTATAGCCACTGGATGCCCAAAAAACAGCTTACGAAAACCAGCCTCTGCATTCCCCCCAAATGAAGAGGGCCATAGAAGGAAATGCCAGTTTAAAGTAACAGAGGCCTTTTGGGGATTCAGGTTGTTACCCACCTTCTGACCTGGGGTTCCTCCCTGCCTGACCTCTCAGCTGGGCCTGGTACCTCTACTGTCTCCAGGTTTTGGCTTGAAGGTCTACATCCAAGTTTCATGTGGTCTCACTTTGGGACCCAGATCCAACCTTTCTGGAGATAATTCACATGGGTCTGGACAGAAGGGAGAAGCAACAAACTTCTGTTGACTTTCCAGCTGCCAAGATGGCTGATGCCTCTCAAGTTTTTGTTTCTGGGGAGCTCAGCTAAAGGACTCTCTAGACTTCCTGGCCCCCATCAGAGCCCCGCTTGGCACTGTGTTCTTAGGGACATAGAAGATGAAATACCTCCCTCCCTAATTGCCTATGGAGCAGGCATAAGAGGAGGGAAACAGGAAGGGCTGTGTGCTCTCTGACCTTGGCCTTGGGTCCAGGGCCTCTCTACCCAGCATTATAGCTCCCCTATGGATGGCTTGAGGCCAAGGGTAAGCTGGCTTTGAAGCCTGGACCTGGAGAGGAGCTTTAAAACTGTGAGGTTTTTAAATATTTAGACTCTGAATTTCAGTACCCCGAAGAAAGGTTCAGATCACAAATCTACCAAGAGCTTTGTGAGTTGTGGATAGTTTTGTTGACAAGTTTAGCTTGAAAGTCAGCAAAGGCAAGGAGGGAGTTCTAATTTATTAAAGGGAGGGAAGGGATGGGGAACCTCTTAGATTGTTTGGATTTTGCATAGTTCCTTATAGTTAACCCTGACTGGTCCATGATAAATAACATTTCTCCCTGCCCTCATCGTGGGGTATCTGATGATAAGGTTCTTCCCAGTTTTGCCACCCCCCACTGGAGGGACTTCTTTGTGCTCCCTGCTCAACCCAAGTAAAGACAGAGCCTGCTGTATGCACCCTTTACTTTTTTCTGTGCAGGAGCAGAAACCTCCTGGAGAAGGGACAACCATCTACTCCATGATCCAGTGCCAGGTACACCTCTGGCTTTTCTAATCAACCTTTCCAGTCTATGGGGCTTCCTAATGCCTCACCCCAAACTTACATCATTGAATGGCAGATGAGCTGTTGGTGTTTCTGGGGTCCAGAAGACAACCTAAGGTGCTTTAACAAGTTGTTTGAAATGGCTAATATTCTCTGGGGTATCTTGACAGAGCTTTTCCTTCTTCTATACCTATTAAAAATCTGGCACAGATTGTCTGTAAGAGAATGGATTTGTTACAGGATTCAGCTTTTGCTTTCTCCCGTATTCTAATAATTGGAGCTCTTGTACTATTTGTTCTCTCTCTCTCTCTCTCTCTCTCTCTCTCTCTCTCTCTCTCCCTATTCTAATAATTGGAGCTCTTGTACTATTTGTTCTCTCTCTCTCTCTCTTCTCTCTCCCTTTGAGACAAGGTCTCACTGTGTAGTCTTGGATGGCCTAGAACTTGCTATGTAGACCAGAATGGCTTCTAACTCACAGAGATCTATCTGCCTCTGCCTCCCAAGTGCTGGGATTAAAGATGTCCACCACCATGCTTGGCCTCATTTTCTTAAATCTCACATGCAAGCTTTATGAAGTTCACAGCTGAGGAAACCAAGACTCAGGTTAGCTGATGTGCTCAAGGCCACACAGATGCATAGTAGCAAAGCTGAGCCAAACCATTTATCAATTTCCACTCTATCTCTTCCTGCCATGCCACTAATGTCTGAGAATATAGTAATCCACCTGTGAACTAGAAAGGCATTCTCTAATATTGACAGCTAAGTTGCCTTTATTGATAACCAAGGCTAGGAGTTCTCCTCTGGAATATCTTAACAGGAAGGTAGTCATGGCTTGGAGCACATGTTTTTCCAGTTTAGAGAAAGAAGGCATGTTATCAAGGAGAGGCATCCCTGGAAAGTTTTGGGTTTGAATTCTGCTTCTACAGTATGTGTTGTGTTCATACTGACTGAATGGGATTCTTTCCCTCCCTCCCTCCCTTCCTCCCTCCCTCCTTCCCTTCTAAAAATCATTTTGTAGTCTTGTATAAGGCAGGGAGCAAATTTTGACCATTCCTATTTTATAGGAATGGTGTAAGGCTTAGGGGAGAAAAAAAAAGTAGTCAACCAAAAGCAATCATCATTACTCACAGTGGGGCTAATGTTCAGGTCTTGACCTTCCATTCAGTCCAGGCTTTTTTCACTGACACAGAGCTTCCATCTAGGTGGGGTTGAAGCAGATGATTTTGCTGAATCTACATTTTGAAATGTGTTTTATCTCTCTTCTCTTCATTAGCCTTCTGCTTCTACCCCACAGGAAACTACAAGTACATTATACTCAGTAATCCAGCCTTTCAAGAAGGTGAGTCTCTTCCTCTAGGGGGTGCTGTTGAACAGATGTGCATTTTGTAGACATGCTGCAGAACATACTTCAGTGAGGTGTCTTCTGCCTTGTGTGGCTGAGCAGCTTCTATGAAGTGATTTTATTTCTTTAATTATTTAGTTTTTGGTCTTTGTGAGACAGGGTCTCCCTATAGCTTCAGTTGGGCTGGAACTCACTATGTAGACCAGGCTGGCCTTGTTCTCATAGAGGTCCGCTAGCCTCTGCATCCTGAGTGCTGGGATTAAAGGCCTGTGCCACCACACCTGGCTTAAATGATTATATTTAAATGTTAAGGGCCAAAAGGAAGAAGTGTACTTCTAGTTCTGTCTGGAGAAAAAGAGCAGTTCTGAGACTCAGAAAACAGCGGATTATAGGATTTTCTTGGACTTTTTGTAGTAGATACCCTTTTTGTGGTAGGTAGGGATAGGAAAGAGGTGTTTTGTGCAGAAGGACCTTGCTAGGATAACAGAGGTGAGAGATACTGGAGAGGTTTTCCAGGCAGGGGCTTATTGCCTAGAGCTAAAGGAATAGACTGTACCTGAAAGACACAGTGTTGACATTCAAAGACCAAAGGTTCTGGTTGGGTGGAGACTCCTGGACTGAGGCAGCCATCATGGCCCACTTAAATCCTGCTCCAACCTCTGCTCATAACTCTTATGTGAACCTCAAACCACAGAGCTGGGTGTCCTGGGCTCATGCTTGTCCTTGTTAATGGGCGTAGGAGGGAATAGGAAGAGTGCTGTTCCCAGAGCTGGAACCACAGTACAGAGCCATAAACAACAATACAGCAGAATGGGGAATTGAAATTCCGCAAAACTGGAAGTCTATGCAGGTTAGCTACTGTTGTTGGAAGGGGCTTAAGACAAGTTTACAGACTTCATTCATTTCCTTCCAGTAAGTCATTCAATCCAATTGAATTCCACCATGAGATTTATTTTTTAAGTTATGCTGCAATATAAGGACATATCAGTATTCACAGGCAAGGCATTTACATGGTTTGGTATTAAATCATAAAAAGTTCTAGGACTAATGAGATGGCTGTGTGGGTAAGTGCACCTGCTGTGCAAAACCAACAACCTGAGTTTGATCTCTGGGACTCATGGTGGAAGGAGAGAACTGACTCCTGAAAAGTTATCCTCTCAACACCACATGTGTACCTTGGTGCATATGTGCTTGTATTCACACATACATCATTATATATATATGTATGCATGCCCCCAATAATTAGAAAAAACCTACATACTACTGAAAGTAGATCCAACGATTCACAAAACCATTGTTTTCAGGGTTTGTTGTTAATGTTAGCACTCGGGGAAGTTCCTGAGTTGTTTATGTTAGAAGGGCATGTGTTAAAATGCTATTTACATTAGGGTTATCTGAGGGACATGTGTGTATGTGTGTGAACATTAGGAATGTGTGTTTGCGGATTTTAGGGACGTGTGGGTATGGGATACTAAACCCCAACCATGGCTCAGGAGTGTCATATTATTGGTCAGAATGCATTGTGCTTTTGTGGAGACCATTGTTTACTACTGGCTTAGGAAACCTTGAGGGTCTTCTGAGCCTTGACTCTTTGGGGAACTTGTATATGAGACAAGAGAAAGACATCCTTTATCTTGAACTTAAACATTCTTAACTTTCAATTTCTAGTCTGGATCGAAGAAGAACCATAGCCCTTCCTTTAATTGCACTGTGTATGAAGAGGTAAGAGTTCTGAACTCCTTCTGAGTGGGTTTTATGTCTATGAATCCCTGAGGTCTAGCAATGAGGGTATATTCATGAAAAGGTCATCCACACAGCCTCAGAATTGTATGGATTTTAGGGATCCTATAGTCCAAATCTTTCTTTTGGAAATGAAGACACAGAGGCCCCCAAAGAATGAGTATCTAACTCAAGGTCATCTTATGCATTCAGATTTTGTTTGTGGGCAGCTTGGGTTCTAAACTACGTAGGGCTGTCCCCAAGCTAGTTCACTAGCTATGGGCTATAAATGGGATAGCCCCATTTAAAGTGTGTGTGTGTGTGTGTGTGTGTGTGTGTGTGTGTATGTGTGGTGTACAAGGGAGGATCAGAGAGGGGAAAATAAATGACTCTGAATGATTTTTAAAAATATCGTCATTGGAAATCATTTTAGAATGTGGGTTATTTCAAACTTCTTCTGAGATGGACATTATTCAAAAGTGACACAGAGGGGCTAGAGAGATGGCTCAGTGGTTAAGAGCACTTGTTCTTCCAGAAGACCTGGGTTTGGTTCCCAATACCTACATGGTGGTTTACAACTGCCTGTAGCTCCAGTTCCAGAGTATCTAATGCTCTCTTGTAGCCTCTGAGGGCACAGCACACACATGGGACACTTATATACATCCACACAAACCACTCATACACATAAGGTTTTTTTTTTTTTGGTCTTTTTTGAGACAGTGTCTCCCAGTAGCCCCAGCTGGCCTGGAATTCACTATGTAAAGCAGGCTGGCCTTGAACTCACAGAGATCCGCCTGCCTCTGCCTCCCTAGTGCTGGAATTAAAGGCATGTGCCACCATGCCTGGCTCACATAAAATTTTTTAAAGAATTTTTTAAAAAATTTAAAAAGTGACACTGAATCTGGTAGCTAACTCGTGCTCACTAGGCCTACATCGGAGGAGAAATGAGAAATGCAGCATTTATCAGGGTTTTCTAATGTGTAAGACAACTTGCCAATATTTGGGTATGAATTACCTCTAAGGTTCATAGAATGCTCTAACAAATATAATCAAACCTTCCCCCCCTTTTTTTAGTGCTGGGGGAGAAGCCATGGCCTTGGGTATGCAAACAAGCACTGTACCACTGAGTTTTGGTCCCAATCTATGCTTCCAATTTATACCCACAGAAATTAAGGCATACAGACCACACTACCCATTAACCTCATGTTATAATCAAAACACTGAAGGTCCAATAGAAATGTTGTCTTTAGTCATAAGGAGAGGCTGGGTGGTTGCCTGTGGGGATTCTTGGCTCTTCAGTGATAACCCAACATTAAAGCCAACTTGACAGTTCAGAGTTACAGAGGAGACTGTGCGGGCCAAGTCAAGGTGGGGACCATGGAGAAGAATGGGAAGAAGTGTGGAGTAGTTTAAAAAAGCACCTGGGAACAGAAGTGATCCAAGTGCTGCCTTAACTTCACACTAATCAATGAGCTTGAAGAGTTTGCTTTATCACCCTGATGTTTTTCTTAATCTGTAAAATGGGGATAATAATTCATACTCTACAAGATTAGTTTAAGGCTCTTTCAGAACGAAGGCCTGAATTTTCTCCTTATCATCCTTAGGTTGGAAAGAGATACTCCAAAGCCTACAACCCTGCCCGATTAAGCCGCAAAGAGTTGGAGAATTTTGATATCTATCCCTAGTTGTTGGAGCTGTTCTTGCCTCACTTACACGTCAGTATTGACAGTGGAAATCAGCATAATGGATGATGCCATATGAGTTTTGATGGAGCAGTTCTTGGGTTGGAGAGGATATAGAAGTTTATTCATGGTCTAGCTTTAATTTTCCAAGTTTTTTTTTCCCCCCAGACAGAATCTCACATAGCCAGGATGACCTGAATTTGCTAGGTAGCTAAGGATGACTTTGAACACTTGATCCTCCTGCCTCCGCTTCTCAAATGCTGAGATTGCAGGCATGTACCACTATATGTGGCTTGAAAATTATATTTAACAGCTTCTATAAGATCAAAGTTCTAAATATCTCCTGAACTTGCAGAGCAGACAAGACTGGGCAGAGAAGTTGTGTTGGTCACAGTCTAAGTACTTGTAATCTATAAAGCTCTATGTAAACATGGGACAAATGTCATGTACTGACACAGTTTAGAACCAGAAACCTGGGAGGGCCCATCAGCTTCACAATGGACAGCCAAGGCATGAACTTACTTGTGCTTTGCCGGATCTCTCTTCCCTGTTTCCCTGTACACAGTGACTAGGCTGGCTTCCCTTCTTGTGGTTCTTTTATCTGTTAACTTGTGTATCCCCTTCCTTGTTAATAGTGAATGACTGCATTTCTAGACCCTCTCCCTGCCCAGGCCCACCTTCCAAAGCAAGAGCAAAGAAAGATGATGGAGATTTAGAGCCTCCTCTGTGATGCTGTGCTATCTGGCTGTGAGCTGGATGGCAGTGCTTCCAGGATGGCTGGGGCCTTGGCATCACTCAACTGCAGGGGAACCCTGGCCCATTCCCTTATTCTGGCTAGGTGTTCACAAAGGACGGTGGGAAGAAGTAAGAGTAGGTGATGAAAATCAAGCAGTCTCTGAATAGAAAATCACCCAGAGCACATGCCATTCTCATATTATTAAGTGATAAGACCAGTGTTGCCCATGATATGGCGTTTGATTTACAAAGACATATTATTAGAAATTTATTTTGGCTTCTTTACAGAAGAAGACATCTCTTAGAAGCCACAGGCTATTTAAGCTCAAGTCCCAATGAGTGATCCCCATGACACAACCTGGAGGGAGATTGTTGAGTGCTGAAGATGAGGCAGTTGGGAGCCAGGTGCTGTGATAGGTTCCCTGAATCTTCAGGCCAGCTCCTTCAGTAAGGCCATGAGAACATGCTTGAGACTCTGGATGAACACAGGAAAGCAACAAGTGTGAATTGAGTAAGGACTTACTCAGAAACCCCAATAGGTGATACTTCTCAGAGTCTGATTCTACAAGAGTTCCACTCTGCACTTAACATAGGAATTTAACATGAAAAGTGGTATCACACAGAGGCAGTGTAAATTCTTTGCCTGAATTAAATTTATGAACCTTTTCCATGTTGAGCATCTGTGGGCCATTCATTAATACATGTCTGTTTAAATTTTGCTGGAAATGGGTTTGACTTTCTGGTGAGCTGTCAGGCCTGTTCACTCTGACAGCACAGAAACAGAAACCTGGGTGTGCCCACTCAGCCTCATGAAGGATAGCCAAGGCATGAACTCACTTGCACCTTGCCTGATCCCTCTTCCTTGTATGCACCGACTGGGCTAGCTTCCACCTAGTCAGAAGCACAGACAGAGCACATCTTAAAGCAAGTGCCAAGGAAGGAATATGTTATACAAGGGAGTCTGGGGTCTTGAGGTGGGAGTTGGGTGTTGAGTTACAGAGCCAGAGTTTAGTAAGCAGAGGCAGTAAGAATCGAAGGAGCAAAAACAGTCCAGATGAAAACCAAAGGCACTACCGTTTAAAAAAATATGACATATGTGTATGGGTGTGCATGTAGATGGAGCATGTGTGCCACAGCATTCACGTACAAGTCAGAGGACAACTTTGCAGAGTTGGTTCTCTCCTTTGACCTTTCTAGGGGTCAGATTCAGTTCTCCAGACTGTATAGCAAGGATCTCCATGCTGAACCATCTCACTGCACTGCCACTGTTTTTCTGCTGGCCTTTGGAGTGTCACAAGCTATGCAGATCTTGAATTGGCTAGATGTGTTTAAGGACCAGGCTTTGGGGGATGCTGTGTTTTGGAGTATACAATATCACATTATTGTATATCTATCTGACTGTCAAGCTTTTGTAGTAATGCTTCATAAGGACAATGTCCATGCAATGAACGAATGCCTAGTTAGTAATTAAGTTCCTGCGGAGTGTGAAGTCCTGTCTGAGCCCCTGGGAGCACCCGTGCACCACTGCAGGGCACCGCTACATGGATCCAGACCCAAGTGCGGGAGAGCAGAAGCACAACATTAAAGAACAGGGGGCTGCAAGGTGCACATGACACGAATGTGTACTACAGTAACATGAATGTAAGCCACGCAGAGTTCATCTTACAGACAGCCAAAAATTGGAGGACAGGAGAGGTTCTATATGGCTGTTCCTTAACCAGACTGACAGTAAAGAGGAAGCACTTGGGTAAATATGAGTGTCTTATATGAAAGAGGCATTTTAAGCACCTTTTTTGGAGACAGGATCATACTATGTAGTACAGGATGGCCTTAAACTTGTGATCCTCCTGCCTCAGCTCATCCTGTATAGAGGTTACAAATATGTACCACTATGCCTGGTTTAAGCATTTTAAACAACTATCAAATCAGGTGCTGGGGAGATGGCTCCATTGATAAAGTATCTGCCACACAAGAATGAAGTTTGGATCCCCACCACCTACGTAAAAAGTTGGGTGTGTCAGTGTACATCTGTAATCTCAGTGCTTGGAGAGGAAGAGGAGAGAGGGAGAAGACAGGTAGATTCCTGGATTTCATTGCCAGTCAGTTTAGTCAGATAGGTGAGCCTCAGGTTCAGTGGAGTGAGAAACCTTTCCATCAAAAAAATAAGGTGGAAAGCAATCAAGGAATGTACCTAACGTTGACATCTGGCCTCCATAAACACCTGCACACACATTGTATGAATATGTACATATTTCATACATATATACCACTCTGGCCTCCATAAGCACCTGTACACACGTGCACATATGAATATGTACATATTATATACACACACGAATTATCAGGGGCTATAGAGATGGCTCAGTGGTTAAGAGTGCATACTGCTCTTTCAGAGGACCCAAGTTTGGGTCCCAGCATCCATGTTGGGCAGCTTACAACTACCTGTAACTCCAACTCCAGATTAGACTCCCTCTTCTGGATTCCACAGGTACCCCAAATCACCTGCACATTACTTTCCCCCATATATATGTATATATAATAAAAGTGAAATACATCTTTAAAAATAATTGAAACAGTAAGCCATATCTATTCTTTTTTAAAAACAGATTCTTACTATGTAGCCCTGGCTGGCCTGGAGCTTGTTATATAGACCAGACTGGCCTCTAACTCACAGAGATCCATTTGCCTCTGCCTCCTGAATGCTTGGATTAAAGGTGTGTGTCACCATCCCCAGCCATACATATGTTTTTTTTAAAAAAATCCAGCAATTTAAAAGCACTCAATAATCTCCTCAACCTGAGATTCTCAGTCCTTCCCCTGGAGGCAGCCACTGATTTCCTATTTCTAAAACTTTGCCATGCCTGCCTGAGCACATAGACTTATATTTTTCTAATCCAACTGGCATACAATATATATGGTTCTGGACTTTGTTCTTCACACTCAGCATAGTAATTTAGAGCCCATTTCATATAGTATATTTGTCTTGTTTTTTTTTTTTTTAAGTCTGTTACTGTGTGGGTGCCAGAGTTAGCTTCAGTTGTCAACTTGATACAAACCTAAAGTCAACTGGAAGAGGAACCTCAGCTGAAGGGTTGCCTTGATCAGACTGGCCTGTGGCCAAGTCTGGGAGGAATTTTCATAATTGCTACCCGACGTAGGTGGGCCCAGCCCACTGTGGGCAGTGCCATCCCTAGGCAGTTGGGCCTACATTGGATAAAAAAGCTAGCTGATCATGAGCCAGGGAGCAAGCCAGAACGTAGGTGGGCCCAGCCCACTGTGGGCAGTGCCATCCCTAGGCAGTTGGCCTACATTGGATAAAAAAGCTAGCTGATCATGAGCCAGGGAGCAAGCCAGTCAACAGTGTTCCTGTGTGGTTTCTGCCTTGGCTTCTCTCAATGATAAACGGTAACCTGTAAGATAAAATAAGCCCTTTCCTTCCCAAGTTCCTTTTGGTCATGGTGTTTATCACATCAACGAAAACCAAACTAAATGATCATGGATTTAACCAGACTCTCACTAAATGGATCACATGTTTTGTTTTAAATACTACTAGAATGAACATTATTTTACATAAATCTGTATGACCACATATAAAAATACTGTTGGGTTCATTTTTGGAGCTGTTTCGAAGATGGTCCCAGCATCTGATAGATGGTCAGTCCTGGTCTTTTTCAACATTTGACCAGAAGAAACCCTATGTGTCCAGTCTATGTGTGTTCTATACTGTCCCGCGTACAACATCATCATGTTGTGTGTTTGGTTGCCGAGCTTCTGCTGTAATGCCACACAAAGACAATGATACAAGCAATGAGCCAATGAACAGGCAGTAGTTAGGCTCCTGCTCAGTATAAAACATGCCCTGAACCCCTGGGGCACCTATGTACCCACTGTGGCACAGAAGTCCTGTAGATCCAAGGCCATGTGCAGGGCAGCATTCTTGGCAGAGTTTTAGTTCAGAGGAGGAAACAGTGTGGATGAATAGACTAATACAGAGACAAATAAAGCAAGGATATTTGAAATGTATCCCCAAGAAGGAGCCTCTGCTTGAATTATTGATGGGATTATGAAGTTGTGGGGGCAAGAAGAAGGGCAAGAAATCAAATCCAGGCAGGTCTGAGCCATTGTAGAAATTCAGATGTGCTTCTGTCTGCAGAAGCACAGGTTTTATACGAACCAGTTTTTCTCCAAATCCAGCCCCTCAGGAGAGAGGTGGCAGCTGCTCTTCTTTTCATGTGAAATTTCCATAGGTAAGGATTTCAGGAGACTCAAGATCATCCTGTGGTGGTGGTGGCACCATCTAAGTAAGTCAAAAAGAACATGCAAGAGTAAGTTAATGATGCCTTGGAAAGTTCGAGTCTCCTCAGTTTGTCTTGGTGAGACAGGAAGGTAAGGCCAAGGTATGATTGGTTCATCTCATAATCTTTATAGAAAGTCTCCTAATGGTAAAGGCCATGGGCTAGACTCTCTGCAGGGGCATATCGGACAGTTCAGTGCAGCAAATCCAGGACTTTATAAAATAACAGTAAAATGTCTATATTTCAGAAGTTATCACTGAATGATCCCAGTCTCTGCCCTAGCTAGAGAAATAAGACAAATATTTACATAATAATTTAGATGGTACAGGTTGGGTTCCGAAGTAATGGCCTGGATCAATTAGACGTTCTTGGTACAAGGGTTCTAAGACCCTCTTTGTCATCTCAACAATGATCAGGAAGGGCTCCAAAGGGCAGATGAAACCTGAACTGAAGGGGACAGGGGGTTAGGTGTAAATATAGTGTGCAGAGGTATGTATTACAAATAATAGTTTGACAATTTCCTGATTAAAAGGCCATAGCCTTAGGAGTCCCAGCAGTGGAACTCCTAGTACTGGAAATTCTGAAGACTGGTGATAAATTCTGTCAAGAACTTAGCTGAAGGGTCTGGAGAGACAGTGGTTAAGAGCACTTGTGGCTCTTTCAGAGGACCTGGGTTCAATTTCTCGAACCTACTGTGGGTAGCTCACAGCTTCCCATAATTAGAGTCCCAGAGGATCTAATGCCCTCTTCTGGCCTCCATAGGCACTGCACACACATGACACACATATGTGTACTCAGGCACACAAATAAATCTTTAAAGAACTTAGCTGAGGAAATGCTTTAATTTCTACTTATACTATAGGTGAGGATGGGTTTAGGAGTCTGAAATCCCTTGGCTGGTGGGGATACCATGTAAGACTGAACAAGCATGTCATGGCTTGTAGTCATTCTAAAACTCAGAGCAAGGACTAATATCCATGACTTTAAGTTTGAATGGTTTTGCCCTGAATACAAAGGACCATACTGGACAGAAAAGCAGCTCTGGGAATGTAGTAAATAACACAGATTTGTTCTCAGTGCCAAAGTAAAATCCTAAGCAGTAAGTGACAGTCTTGAAGTCAGGAAGAGGCAGAAGATGATGAACTAATCTGCATATCTGAACAGTTGTTTACTGAGCACATTCTCTTCTCTTTCTCCTCTTCCTCCTCCTCTTCTTCCTCTTCCTTCTTCTTCAAAGGGTCTGGCTATGTGGTTGCAGGTTGACCTAGAACTGCCACTCATTCATCTTGCTTCAGTCTCCCAAGGATATGCCACCACCCCTGGCATATTATCCATCTCTTATTTTTCTTTATTTCTTTATTTCTTTAATTCTTTCTTTTTTTTTTTTTTTTTCTCTCTCTCTCTCTCTCTCTCTCTCTCTCTCTCTCTCTCTCTCTCTTTCTTTCTTTGGTCTTTTTGAGACAGGGTTTCCCTGTAGCCCCAGCTGTCCTGGAACTCACTATGTAGACCAGGCTGGCCTTGAATTCACAGAGATCCACCTGCCTCTGCCCCCTGAGTGCTGGGATTAAAGGCATGCACCACCACACCCGGCCCTTTATTTTTATTTTTGAATTATTTTTAATTTTACATGTATGAGTGTTACACCTGCATATAGGTAGGTACATGTCATGCAAAGCAAATGGAAGTCAGAAGAGACTGTCGAATCCCATGGAACTTGAGTTACGGATGGTTGTTAGCCGCCATATGGATGCTGGGATTTGAACTGGGTCTTCTTCAAGAATAGTCAGTGTTCTTAATCACTGAGCCATCTCTCCAGCCCCTTATCCATTGTTTAAAACCCAACTCAAATCTCTTTTCTTGAAGCCTTTCCACTAGGTTTCCACCAAGGGCAGTCCCTGCTTCGAATGTCCCCCAAACCCTTGGAATTTCACACGTAATTTATTAAGTAGTCATGTAGTGTTTTTGCTTGTTTATTTTTCCTCCTCTACCAAAAGTTAGATAAGACGACAAATCCTCAGGGTCAGAGTGGTGCCATAAACACATTTGAAGCCCCATAACACTGAGCCCAATTATGGGGAAACAAAAGGCACTAAATAAATATCTACCTATTTGATTTATTAATCACAGATAAGTAGCATGTTTGAAAAACCTTCTAGATTATATATATATTGTTGTTGTTGTTGTTCTTTTTGAGAGCTGGCCTGGAACTCTCTATGTAGACCAGGCTGGCCTGAAACTTACAGACATTTGCCTGCCTCTGCCTCCCAAGTACTGGGATTAAAGGTGTGTGCCACCTTGCCCAGTTCTTAGATTTAATAAAATTTTAAGTGCTTTACAGAGATGGAATTTGGGGAATGATTTGAAAGTATTAGTATTAGCAGATTCAATGTTTTCAGCAAAGTGAAAATGGAGTGATCAGTCAGGTTGAGACCAAAGATAATTGCTAAAGAATATTGAGATTAAACAAAAACAAGCCTCTTAGAGCTAATAAACACTTTCAGCAAAGAGGCAGAATACTGAATTAGCACACAAAAATCAGTAGCCTTCCAATACAACAATGACAAATATACTGGGGGAAAAAAAAGAGGGGAAAAATACAATTCACAATTGTCACAAAGTAAAAAGAAACAAACTCAACAAACAAAAACCTTGGAATAAACCTAACTGAAGAAATGAAGGACATCTACATGAAAAATTTAAAATAATGAAATTGAAGAAGACACTATAAGAAGGAAAGACCTCCCATGCTCATGAATTGGAAGAATTAGTATTGTGAAAATGACTACCTCACCAAAATCAGTCTGGAGATTCAACACAATTTCCATTAGAACTCCAGCGACATTTTTCACAGAAAAAAAAAATCTTAATGTTCATATGGCAGCACAAAAGACTCTGGACAGACAAAGCAATCCAAAGCAAAAGAGT